CACTTATCCTTGGTTAAGACAAAAGCTTGTTCAGCATGAAAGATGCATTGCTTGCCAGTTTATCGATTGCATCATGCCTGGTTACGACATTGCGTTTCAACAAAAAAACAGAGCATACGTATCAAGGTTCAGTACAACTCCCATCCTGCCATAGGTCTCCAAAACAAAGGATATTATTCAGGACAGAATTAATGTTTTCAAAACTTTTTCGCTCCTCCTCTCCAGTCATCCCTCTGAAGACAGAGCTGGCCGTGGAGCTGCTGGAGAAGGGCAGAGTTCGCTTCTGGTTGCAGGCTGAGAAGATCTCTGCCAATGGAAAAGTTGAATATGTGTTCAATGACAATGTGGTCCACCAGGGAGAGGTTAGAGGAACACAGAAACAAACATGCAGCGCATGAAGCATTATACATGCCGTTGACTGGAAATAGTCCTTTGGCTTGCTTCTGCATTAACACTTACTCTGTGTTGTAGAAATACAAGATGAACTTTGATAAAAATACTGGCATCATTGAGATGTTCATGGAGTCTCTGGGCAAAGAGGACGAGGGAACGTTCACTTTCCAGCTTCAAGACGGCAAAGCCACTAACCAGTCCAGTCTAGTGCTGATCGGAGATGGTACATCTTAAAAGTCCATATACATATATGCATCTCATGTATAGCGTGTGTACCAATAACACCATCTCATTTCCTTCAGTGTTCAAACAGTTACAGAAGGAATCAGAGTTCCAGAAAAAAGAATGGATTAGAAAGCAAGGTATGATATGTGCAGTATTATTTTAAAAATACTGTATACCCACTGTGTTTGTACATTAATCGTGCCGTTCGTGCTCCGTAAGGTCCACACTTCGTGGAGTATCTCGGTTATGAAGTCACACCTGAGTGCTGCGTGAGACTGAAGTGTAAGGTGAGCCGTCTCTCTGATTAAACACTCCACTTCAACTCTAATGCTGCCGGTTTCTTTATTAGTGACATATTAACATGTGATGCAGGTTGCTAATATGAAGAAAGACTCTGTGGCGCTGTGGTATAAGGATGGACGAGAGATTAAGGTCAATGAGAAACTGGATTTCTCTGAAGGAGTGTTGACTTTGGAGATCGTTCAGGTGAGCAGCATTTCTCAAAGTTATCCAGACATTGAAAACATGGTCAACAATATACCTGCTGACAAATATGGCCTCCACAAGCATTTAAATATTAAGGAGAGATGTTTAGTTAATGATTAACTAAAAAAACATAAAATGTTCATTGGTATTGCTATTATATATGACTTTCCTCCTTTAAAAAAATTGCACAGGCAATACAAACACTGAAAATCCTGCAAATATTAACTAGTATATCTGTCCCCAGACCTTAAAAATATCAAAGCCCTGCACATAACGTGAAAACAAGTCATTCCCACTAGTTACATTGTATTCCTTATTTCCTTGGTTTTAGTTAAACCATTGCTTTGTTGTAATTAAATCATGGGAATGAATTAATAAATCATGCTCAATGATTTCTAAATTCATGGCCACAGTTTTTTTTTTTTTACAGGAATAAACGTGTTACAAAAAGACGGATAATAAAAGTATGCAGCCTGTTGAAATACATAGTGTGCATTAAATGTCAGATGTTTTACAAAAAAAATTTATAATGTGGTCACTATTCTATTCTAGTCTTATTTTTATAGCAAGTAGATTATAACATACAATACAATGATATAAACACTTGTTTAATGTTTTACAATATAATATATCGGGGTATTAATACACAGTCTTGAATTCAGCCAAATGACTTTTTTTACATATATATTAACATATAAATCACAAACATATGTGACCCTGGGTCTTAAGTCGCTGGGAGATATTTGTAGCAATAGCCAACAATACATTGTATGGGTCAAAATTATAAATTTTTCGTTTATGCCAAAAATCATTAGGATATTAAGTAAAGATCATGTTCCATGAAGATATTTAGTAAATTTCCTACCGTAAATATATCAAAACTTAATTTTTGATTAGTAATATGCATTGCTAAGAACTTCATTTAAACAACTTTAAAGATGATTTTCTCAATATTTTGATTTTTTTTGCACCCTCAGATTCCAGATTTTCAAATTTTTGTATCTCAGCCAAATATTGTCCGATCCTAACAAACCATTCATCAATGGAAGCTTATTTATTCAGCTTTCAGATGATGTATAAATCTCAATTTTAAATAAATTGACCCTTATGACTGGTTTTGTGGTCCAGGGTCACATATCATCATGTCTTTTGGACTTGAATTAATTACTTGATCTTCATCAGTTTCTGTCTCTTTGTCTGTCATACTTGTTTTTTTGTTGTTGTTTTGTGCCTCTGTCTTCCTATTCCTTCAGGTTTTCATCTTTCTTTCTACATTATTTTCTTCCCAACAACACTTTTACAACACGATTTCTACACGTTGAGTCTCTTCGGAGGCTTTCTGACATATGCTCCTGTAGTGTTAGATTGGAGATCACACACACTGGTAGGCATGTGATAGTTTTAATGAATTTTGCGTTTGTTTGTGTCCATGGCAGATCTCCAAAAAAGATGCTGGTATATATGAAGTAGTTCTGAAGGATGACCGAGGCAAAGACACCTCCACCCTCAACCTCACAGACCAAGGTAACATAGCAGAAAAGGGATTCAAAAGTACTGTTACTATTATAAAACTCACTCCTTACACTAATGTGCACTAGTTTGTGCTGTACACTCTAAAAAATGCTG